TTCTAAAGTGCTAGGCTGTATACGAACAATATAATATGTTAAATAAAAATTGAACTGCTTAATATATATAAAAAAATACGATTTTTTAAAAACATACACTGACAATTTTGAGTAAAATGATGTCAATGATTGGTGTCAATGATTGCTCCACAAGTAGATAGTGCAGATATTTCACGATTTTCTTGCAACTGCTAATGATTATTGGCTGGGCCATATCCTCAAACTTATTTAATTATTAGGAAGCTTCTGATAAATCACGTGTCAAACAGTAGAGAAAAATTTTACAGAAGCCTCCATAAAAGAAATAGTTACAGGTCCTTTGCTGTTTGTTTACAATTATTCACAAACAAAATATTACCACATGTTACTAAGTGTATTGATAAATGGTGACAAATAACAATGATAAAAAAAACATTTGTAATATAATGAACGAAAGACTTAAATATCTATTCCAGTTTTTGGTTATGGCACAACCTGATGACTAGCAATCAGTTCAGAAACTATAGAAAAATAAATTATTGTGAGACAGTGAATGCATCTTTTTTCATGTGAAAGGGAAAGTTAACATAATTTTTGTTAATTATCTTTACATTCATGTCTTAAGTTCCCACCAAGAATAGTAGGCATCCTTCAGTCTCGGGAGACTATGGAGTTGCGCCCTGGTTGTCAATCCTGGTGCAGCGTCTGGTGTGACTGATGAGGCCAATCCGAGAGTGGCAGTCCATCCCACACTGAGCACAAACGAAGTCCGATTCTGGTTTGTCTTCCTGGCTACCGGCATTCCTTTTCTGTCTCTTTGCCTCCGATTTCTTGGCGAGTAACTCCCCGAACTTGGAGAGACCTCTTTGAACAGACTGTCCCCAAGCTGAACGGTCTGCAGCCAGTATTTCCCACGTAGCAAGTTCGACGTCCGTGGCTTTCAGGTCCCTCTTGCATACGTCTTTGTACCGTAGCTAGGGATTGCCTGTTGGACGCTTTCCCTGCATCAGCTCTCCTTACAGGAGATCCTTGGGGATCCTGCCATCGTCCATTCGCATAACGTGCCCGTGCCAGCGCATTCGTCTCTGTTTCAGCATTGTGTACATGCTGGTGATTCTTGCTCTCCCCCAGGACGTTTTTGTTACCTTGTCCTGCCAGGTGATGTCCAATATGTGTCGAAGGCAGCGCATGTGGTAGGCATTCAGCTGTCTTTCCTGACGGGCGCGGAGTGTCCAAGTCTCACTGCCATAAAGGAGAGTGCTCAGAACACAGGTTCTGTAAACCTAAATCTTTGTATATTCAGTCAGCCTATTGTTGGCCCACACTCTCTTTGTCAATCTGGACATGGTAGTTGATGCCTTACCGATGCGTTTGTTTATCTCCGTATCAAGAGAGAGGGAGTCAGAGATTGTGGAGCCCAGGTACACGAAGTCGTGAACGACTTCCAGTTTGGAATCGGAGATGCCGATGTCAGGTGGAGAGTCCACTCCTTGTCCCATGACTTGTGTTTTCTTCAGGCTGATGGTGAGTCCGAAAGCCTGAGAGGCCTCGCTGAAGCGGGTCATGAGCCGTTGGAGGTCTTCGGCTGAGTGGGCAGTGACTGCTGCGTCGTCGGCAAAAAGGAAGTCGCGCAGACACCTCAGCCAAACCTTCGTCTTGGCGCTCAGCCTGGCGAGGTTAAAGAGCTTTCCATCCGACCTGGTCCGGAGGTAGATGCCTACCGTGGCAGATCCGAAGTCGTGCTGCAGCATAACTGCGAAGAAAATCCCGAATTGGGTTGGAGCCAGGATGCAACCCTGCATTCTGCCAGAGACAGAATTCGTTCGGTTTCCCCTGTCGGTGGCATAATGTGTTCCAACAGTGCATTCCTGACGACAAATCCCACACCATGTTCTCTGGTCTCATCTGGAGGTTTTCCTTGCCAGAAGAAAGAGAAGGTCCTCTCTCTCACAGATCCTGATCCTGGAAGCCTGGTCTCTTGGAGAGCAACAATATTCATCTGCAGTTAGCTCGGCTCCCTATCGATGATTGCTGTTGTTGTTGTTGTTGTTATAGATTCAGCTACTGGGAACAGAAAATTCCAAGTAGCACGGGCTATGGTGAGCCCGTAGATGATTGCTGTTTTTCGGGCGTCATTGATTTCTTGCAAGTCGTCAGAGAAACCTGGTGTCAGTGTCCTGACGTTCCATGTACCCAGCTTTAGGGCAGTTGATATTTTCTTTTTAGGTTTGGTATTGCTTGGTGCAAAGTTGTCGGGCCGCTTGTCGGTTTTCACCCTAAACCTCACGCACCCAGTGATGTTAACGGACTGTGGCGAGGCAACACCTTATTGGCTGGGGTTTGCCCAGCTTGAGGCGGGCGGTAGCTGCCCAGTGGGGCGCGATGACCCCTCCCACCGTCGGAAGCAGCCCCTGGCGTCACACTCTTCGCCAATTGAGAAGACTTAAAACCAGTAGACTGTTGCTTCCCGTGTTGGTTCGACGCTGTGAGGCGAAGCTGGAGTGTCCTCTCCAGTGCACAAAGGCTTCGTAGGTAGATATGGAGGAGAAGCTGTTACCCATGCAGCAGGTCCTTCCTCTCCACATTGCTGAAATTATCCAATGGAAAGGCAAATACCAATACACATGGTTCCAGCATCGTCGCAGGAGCTGCCAGAACGAGGTCGAAGTCAACAAGGAACTGCTTTAGGGGCTGCAACTCCAGATTTTTCCTCGAGGTTGACTCCTGAAGCCTTTCCCAAAAAAGGGGTATAGCCGCAAGGCAGCGTAGGTTTAAAATCAGGGTTTTCCTTCCCCTAGATGGGCTGCCTTCCCAGCCTATCGAGTCCCATCTACCCGGAGCAGCTGGTTTTAAGGCGTCAGAGGCACGCCCTCGCCCCTTCTCCTGTCGGTAAAAGCAGTTCCGCCGAACTTAAAGACTAAGCCACCCGTGCTGGCCAGGAATTGGAGTTTGTTGTCAAAGGGTATTGGAGAGGCATGCCGTATAGGAGCTTTTTATAGGTCATGGAAGCTCGTCCCCCATTACCACCCCCTGGCTATGACAACCCCTTGGAACCAACTGTACCAATTTTTGGTAGAGTTGGAGAAGCTGAAGAAAACTGATTCAAAACTCAAAACAATTCAAATTCTAATTCTGATTCAAATTAAAAAAAACTGATTCATATTCTTTACCAAGAATAGGAATCAGTCTTTGCTATTGTACTTTTGAATGATTATAAGTGTTTACTTTGTATGAAGGATGAAGGAACACAAAGGTATTACAGGAATTACCATGGGGTGCACCTAGGAATAATTACTCACACACTTACCTCCATCATCTCTCTCTGCTTCCCTCTGTAAACGAAGAGTCACAATAACGTGGCTGAAGATATAATGACCAAACGAAACAAAAGAAAATGAACCTACGATGAGGTTTCGGTCCATCCTGAAGTGTGGTTTGGTCATCATATCTTCCTCCCTCTCTTTTCCTTTCTTTATCTGCCTCTACCTGTCTTTGTCTCTCTTCCTCGAGCTGCCCTGCTGGAGAAAGTGCTTACAAGATTTATTCTCAGTAAACACACCGCCCAGAGGAATGTTTGTAAATGCGAGTTTAACTGTTAATAATTATTCTTTCCCTGCCTACAATCTGATTAAGATGTTAGGTCAGGTTATGTTAGGATACCTTAAGTTGAATACCTTTCGAGACAGTTAAGAGGTGATTTGCAATTTGGAATCTGAACAATAACAATCAATGAAATCATCAGTTTAACACTAGTGCTTTGCTTGTGATGGCGGCAGTGGTGGTGCTCGGGTGGATGGTAGGTGTAAGGTGATGGACGACAGACTGCTTTATTATAGGGTCACTGAGACGTCCGCCGTTAGTAAACTAATTGTAAACCCAGATACGAATATCTTGGATCGGAAACTTGGGAACTCTGTGGGGACTTCTTTTTATGCCTATGGCCTAAAAACACTTTGGGGACTCCATTTTAAGTCCACAGGAAGACTTTGCATTAAAGTCTATGAGCTAGGAAATTTGCATTAAAGTCTATACCCAAGGAATTTGACATTAAAATCTATGGCCTAGTGAGTTTACATAATATGTCCAAGGAAATCCATTGGTCTAGTCTATGTCTATGATGTAGGAAGTTTGTATTAAAGTTTATGTCCTAGGATATACATTTAAGTCAACGGCACAAGAAGTTTTTACTCAAGTCTATGGCCTAAGAAGTTTACTTAAGTCTAGACCCTATGATCTTAATTTTAAGTGTACGGGCTGGGAAGTTTATATTTATAGATATGGGAATTTTATAATTAAACCTACCGGAATTTCACATCATATCTCTCTTACCAAAAACAAAAACGGGTCCTCTTCGTCGTACCATTTAAATTTTGCAGGAAAAATCTACAGTAAGAAAGATTACATTGAAATCTGCAGGTAGTTTACACTTAAGATTATGGTAATTTCAAGCTTCATCTGACACCAACATTCGAAAATGCCAAGTCTATATCACACCATTTAAAAAATATAGGAAACGTTTGCTGGAAAGTTTACATTTAACTCCATTGTAATTTTTCTTGACAATGAAAGGTGAATATTATGCTTTATTTCACCCACAAAATTCTAAAAAGGACCACAACAGTCATACTGTCTGGCCCATGTACTGAGATCGTTGGGGCTGCCATTCCCAAAGTGAGCATGTGAAGGCATAGACGACATTCGTCTCTTTCAACACATTTTTTTAAGAGTTGGAAGAGTTCTCCGTGAACAAGTTTGCTGAACTCAATAACATATGTTTGAAAAAACCGCCACTATAATTAAATTAATGGAAATATTATAAAATATAATAACAATTAAATTCAAAATAATTACAATTTAAATAATGATAATAATAAAATTAATAGTAATAATAAATAAAATTACTGAAAATAATTAACATTAAATTGAAATCATAATAAGTAAAAAAAACAATTATGTAAGCAAATGACAAAAAAACATTACCCAAGATCTTTATATATTACTGGTTTTGTTTGTTGCCACAGATCGCTACTGCACCACCAAGCCTGGTACGCACACCTTCAATGGTTACTTGATTGACTGCAATTGTACCCGTGGTGAAGGGTTCAAGCTCCGCATAACCAAACAGGATACAGGTAAGTCTTTGTCGGTCGTGATGAAGGGTCCAGCTGCACTTACAAACAATGCATTACAAAAAAATATTGTAAATGAATGTCTTTAGTACATATATAGTTGGTTAGTTTACATAGGTTTACACTGAACTATTTATCTTAAAGAAAGTGTTAAAAACAATATAACATGAAACTCTGACAATGAGAACATAATTTATAGGATTAATATGAACTAATCATTCAATGACTTTGTAAAAACAAAATTTACACCCTCAGCAGTCTCCATGTATATGATTCTAGGGCAAACCCGGATCAAAATCATTCCCAACACACAGTTCATGCAACATAGATCTGACTTCCATAGAACTCAACATTCCTGGCAGTAAGGCCTCTCTTTGTCACAGTAGTTCCTTCAAAATTCCAGTTATCCAATTGGGGGTCTCCCTGCTTTCTCTGCTGACTAGTTGTTTTATTGTTTTATTCAATCATGTATACCTGCTGCACCATTATATATATCATTCATTCTTAAGTTGTATTTAACTTAACTTTTTACCTCTGGGATAGTTCGAATTGCTAGTGACTATTCAGTGTAATAAAAGGGAATTGATTGAGTTTGCTGGATGTGCAATTCCCTTCAGATAAAAGGATATCATTCGTTTGTGAACAATTTCTTCAAGTGTGAATATGAACATAACGCTTGAAATAAGATTGCAATGAGCGTCAAGATGAACACCCATGATTCGTCTTGAACATTTTCTCCATTCACAATTAAGGTTACAAAAATCAACACTTTGAAGGTGGTATAGTTCATAGTAATGCGGGCTCAGACATTGACTGCTAACTTTACTTGCGACCAGGTATCAAGATGAACGAATTCACTCATAATGCCATTGGTTCTAATTTTTAGGTCTCTAATGCCATCAGAAAAATGCCTTTAAAAATACTTTTCAATAATCTCTCTGTGTAGCAACTTAAATTTCGGAAAATTATAAAACGGATCGAGTGAGTTAAAGGGAACTATAGCACATTTGGCTGGATTGAAAGTAAGGTTGTTTTCTGCATTATATCTCTCACATAGTCCTATCAAGATTTTCAAAGAATCTTTCGTCGGTGTGAGCAGAACTAGATCAGCATAACAGGAAACATTGACCTTAGTTGTACCTGTGCGTCAGCCAGCTCGACTGGCTTTTAACTCATTCAACAATGGATGAAGATAGATAGCAAATTTGTATAAGACTGAAAACTGTACCTTATTTGATTCCATTTTTAGTGAGAAATATTCAGAGTGGATATTACTCCATTTCACAGCTAATTTGCATACCTGATAAAAAAAAAATATATATATATATATATATATATATATATATATATATATATATATATATATATATATATATATATATATATATATATATATAAAAAAATATATATATATATATATATATATATATATATATATATATATATATATATATATATATATATATATATATATATATATATATATATATATATATATATATATATATATATATATATATATATATATATATATATATATATATGGGGATACCACCTCTGGTGCAATTATAGGGACCCACAGCCTCAGAGAAGGGAACACAGAGCATTCAGGGAAAAACTTGCCATATAAATCTGAATACATAAGTGTTCGCTTCTCCTACCACCCCCCCCTTTTTATGGTGTACAATTTATTATGCAAGGTTATACAGTTACATATCTGATTGTATACAAAAAATGAACATTAAGAGCACACAAGAAAAAAAGTTCGCTTCCTAGAGGCTGTAGATTTCCTCGAACTCCTCCAATGTCGGGCAGGAACCGAGGATGCAGCGAACATTCCCCCTCTGGATCGCGACACTGAGACGCTGAAAGAGAAAACTTGCCTCTCTAGGGTCTCTTGTGGTGTCAATGAGCTTGGAGCCAAGATCCTTAAGAAACCTTCTTGCACTCTCTCCCCATGGGCCTAGGGTCTCAGACCCTATTGGAATGAAGTTGTACCAATTATTTAATTGCCTATATGTGGCTGACTTGTCTCTTTCTCTGTGTGTCGCCGTGGCTCCTGCTGTGCTGGCAGAGAGGTTGATGTATGTGGTTACCAGGGTGGATACGCAAATATAGTCCCATGCCAACTGTCTGCCACCCTTCCACGGACGCAGTGTGATTCCGTCTGGTCGGCCGGCAAATCTAACAGAGTCACAGTTCAGTAGGTTGCGGGGCTCTCTCTCCGCTGGACATTGAGCAGAGGCAAGGCTTCTTTTAATGATGTCTGTTGACTTCGTCGTGTCTCGTGTGCCAACCACCACATTTTCCACAGTGCAGGCTATGCAATCCATATTCGTCAGCATCTGCCTCGCCGCAAATACACCTATGAACAGTGTGGATAGGGGCAGCAAGACGGAGAGCGACTGCAATACGGAGCTCCTGCAGATCAAGACGTGTGCCTGTCGCAGACATAGGGACTGCCAAAAGGAAGTCCCCTGCATGGGGAGCCTGCACAGCTGTGAGGCGTGCACGATCACTGGGGGTTGTTGCTGCCTCCAGCAAAGCTGTGGCTTCTTTGTCTGCAATGGGGCTGTCCCAACTGGATTGTTTCTTGGCTTTCAGCATGGCTGGTCTGAGTGCTGGGTCTGCCATGGCACCCCATTTTGTGTCGCATTCTGTGTAGTGGGGGTTCTGTATCCCTGCTACATTACTCAGGGTGTCAGGTAGAATTTCGTTAACCAGGTCATCTGATGCTGGGGTGGAAGACAGGAAGGCTGGGACAGCAATTTGGGTGGCGTTGCGGACACCCAAGCCACCGAGCCTAACAGGAAGAGTGGCTTGTTTCCACTGGCATTCGTTGAGGGAGAGGTTAACAACTTTTTCCAGCATGGTCTTCAGTAAGAGGTCATAATCTTCAAGCTTTCGGTTGTCGTAAGATGGGGCACACCTCAGAAAGTAGGTTTGCCTTGGAACGGATAGGCATTTGGTGAGGAGATAAAACGCATCATGGGCATCGATGTCACCTATTCTGTCTTCCATCCTCCTAAGGTCTGCGATTTTCTTGTCAAGGATCTCCTCAATGGCGTTAGACCCGAGGGGGGCTCTAAGGAGGGTGCTGTTCTCGGCCCTAATGACATGGGCTCCAGGCAAGGCAGACCTTATTCTAGCTACGATGTCTGGGTTGGAGGAGACTACTTCACACTTGGAAGGGTTCAGGACGAGACCCAGGCTTACTTACTTCTTGCTCCCTTATTTTCTGTGGGAAAAACCTGCTGGGATTGATATAAGAGGAGACTACTAGAGACTTGGACTGAACTAAATTAAAAAATTTCTGTCTGCAAATTAATTCCTAGAATCTCTAGCTAGGGTCGTAAATCCTAGCTCCTCTTTTCCTAATGATAGATTGTGGGCTGTAAGGGACAGGTGGGATGAATGGATTAGTTGATAGAAGTTCCAGTCCACCTGTAGACAGGGATCTCACATCAGCTTGTATATTATACAAGGATAAGATTTGATAAATTCAGTTATATGACTGAACACTGGCTCTGTTTAAATCAGAGATTTAAACATCCATAGTCTAACCTAGCACCAAAACTAACAGCCATTAGGTTCTTATACTATAAACAAATTAAATTGCAAAAGTATAATAAATGACTTTAAATGTAGTCTAAGCACTTAACTAAGTACTAGATATTATTCAATTAAATGAACTTGTATGATAACTTATAAATTAACTAAGCAAGCAATTGTTAACTTAATTTATATATTCAAATATATATGCAGACATATTTATATTAAATTTATATGATTATGTAGTCAGCTTGACTGAATCCTTTTCCACACAATGGACACTCATGAGACTTTATTTAAGCATTGCGACTGAATCTTTTTCTGACAACTGGACACTCATGAGGTTTAGTGCCTGGACAAGGACCTGCTGCTCATCTACAATATTAATAAACTTACTGAAATGTGAGGCTTAGCCTCGCTTTTTAACCAACAGACAGATTTATAGGATATTAAAGTCACACAAGCATACAATTGGCCAATCATATACCAAATAACCTTCAATATACTTCTCTGCCAGTCGGGGTGCCTGTCTGACAAGGTGCCAGACTGATTAACTCTCTCTTGTTGAGTTTAGGCACGATATTTTGTCACAGCGTTGCTGTATGATGTAATGGTAGCGTTGCTACGTGATTGACCCTGCAGTTGCAGAAGAATGATAGTTGCTGAAGATTAGGAATGAAGGTGGTGGAAACCGTGTCACTATGAGCTCCACTATACACTCCTATTTTATATAAATGTTCTAGAATTTTCCTTGTAGATATTGTCCAGGTACTCCCCCAATTCTAGAGAGTGTTCACTGGTGGTAAAGATATTAGATAAGGTGTCCTTGAGCTGGTAATGTTCGCTAAGGATCCGTCACAAATGTTCACAGTTGTCAACAAACGCGTGGTCCCCCTGGGCTCTCGTGGACGCTTCTGACAGATCCCTTCCCATGCTCCCCGAGCACGGAAGTCTTCTATGAATATTGATTGATTATTTTTACAGTCTAGACTTATGATTGGGATAAGCTGTAATTATAATATAATTTGATATAGGATATAAAGATTATAAGTAGTACTTGATAGTACCACTGATTCTTATTAAGGATTCGGTTTTTATCCCTACCGGATATTGAATCAATGTTCCAATAATTTTTTAATTATAAAATCCTTCTAGAAGTTTCTGGATCCATAAGAGATCATGCACAAAGTCACGTAGGCATCTATAGGGCCCTATGCGTACGGGATCCAAGTGGCATTATCTTCTAGGATCAAACTGTATAATGAATCTATAATGATTCTGATATGATTTTAGATATGATTTTGATATGATACAGAAATTATACATTTCTTAGATGATAATTAGATATGGTGGGTAAAAATTTCCCACATCTTCCAGAGGGAGAGAACTGGCACAGAGTCCAATACTAAGGACAGTAGTAATCAGCTGTATTTATTTACTCTCCATCGGAT